CCTGTATGCCATCACTGGATAAAATGTCTAGAATGGCTTTCTGGTCAAAAAATTACTCATTCAAAGATGAAACCAAATACTGAATCTGAATGCATTATATTCAATTATCCTTGAGATATTGCGAAACAACTATTCCAATTTCTTAACTTCAACGCCCTGTATCTCGAGAACTGAACACTTGAAGACCGTACAAGCGTTGTCGGTCAAATTCCGCAACACCCTGTATACATGCCACATGTATATTATATAATTTTCAAACACAGGCGGTTGATCTAGGGCGATCCGCAGAAATTTGTTATTATCGTTTTCTGCTGAAAACGATGTTGGATCACGACAGAATGTAGACAATTTCGTCTCCCCTCATTTCATATGTCTATGGGTGATATAAGGCTCAAGATTCTGCTGTCTAACGCGATATTCTGTCATACGAAGGAAACTTCAAACTGATTGTACCCACAAAATTAATAATACTATTCATTGATATTATTGATCTTATCGATTAAGGAAACATTTTTCTCGACAAAATTGAAACAAAAATTGTACATAACACGTGAGAAAACGCAATATTGTGTCCCGAAGAGATTTTTCTTATCTCTTTGAGCACAGGGAAGGGAATCCCTATAATCTTCAAGGAACATCGTGAAGCGGAACGAGCAACGCAGGAAAAAGGGTTTCCTACCTGTTTACGTGAATATCTATTGTGGTTCCAGTCGAACCTCATATTCCACGAATGTTTCTCAAATCCGCCCCCCCTGCATTTTTTCCTGGCGGCGCCCATGTTCGATGTCATTTTTAAAAAATGATTAAAATATTATTTGATAATATTCAATATTATATAAATATGAGTAAAAGTATGAAAACCGAACAGAGGGTATATTGTTGAAGTATATATGATACAATGATAGGTGATTATTAATTTAAACTGGGTGATTCATGGGGAATGAGAAATCTTTGAACTCTATACGAGTAAAGGAAACACAAAAATATGAAGATTTGGACCGAAACATGATTTATAGAATGTTGCTGGTTTAGGAGATACAGAGTTTTGAAGTGGAAGAATTTATTTCAGAATTCCTCAATAACTTCGTGAGTTTTGACAGCACGAATATGAAATTCAGTCGTTTCAAGTTTTTTGGCTTGAAAAATACGAATTTGTGACTCATTTCGTGATTGCTAAATGAGGCCGCAAGTAGCACTCTGTTACTTCGTAAAATGACACCATTAATTATTACTTCTTTATTCATGAAATTATGATTAGAATGGCTCGAAAATCTGTAACCCCGTTTTATTCAACATGAAAAATGTACCTACTATTTTTCAAATTGTCTAGCTCTAACGATTTCTGCGTTATTCGCTCTTGAAGAGGATTGTGTTTCGCTTATAACATTTTTACTATTATGAAGTTACCGAAGTGACAGTGGCAAAAATGAAGTAATCAATAATGACAATCACTTACAACACCAACAACAAACAAAATTTGAAAGAAAATGTTCGACGATAGTTTTGGAAATATTTTTGATAAAAGTTGTTCTGCAACATATCTATGAGGCATGTTGGGCTAAATCTTCATATTTTGGTATCTACTATATGTAGTTCAGAGATTGTCCATTCTTAATGAATCACATTCACCCTGTGAATACGGTTGCAGTAGAATATGGAACTTTCCTTATCAAATAAAATGGAAGATACTACTCGAATACATAAGTTATATGTGTGTTGCTAATTTTTTTTTGCCGTAGGAAAACCAATAGTTTTAGTCTTGTAATATAAGGGGAGAGTATGGAACACAAAGGACCATCGGGCCACAGAATACTTCTCGATTATTTTTGCTACATGTACCGCCACCTATCTGGCATTTCTCTCGGCATTTCTATATGTGCATCTCCAACGCATCTTCAACCTTCCATAGTTCCCATTCAAACGTGAAATACCCTCCCAGTTCATCAGTATACACACTACACAGGGAGAAAAGCGATTGAATATCTATGCACACTATGAAAAACATGATTGTGGAGTATTTTCTAACAATTGTTCGAATTGTCTTTTAGTGAAATGGAATAAATATTTGTGTACAGCAATTCGTGAAATACAGTTCTCAGCACACTAAATGGACCACTCATAATTTGACTCTATTTCGAAGACCTGTATTTTGTGAAAAAATTTACCGATGTTCATGCGGTTTTCAATATCAGATGAGATGTTTCATCGTCTTCAAAGAGAGCTAGAACACTCTGAAAAAGTTCGCAGAACAAAACTTACACAGGGTGTAAAGTGAAACCATTACACTATTATGGTTTACATTTCCGATGCTGCCAGAACTCGAGAATTTTTTTCTGATCAAAAGTCAGTCAGTCATATTATGATACGCTGGGACCTCATCTCGGGACGTTTTCGTGATTTCTCCTCAATTGGCCATAGGAACAAAAATTCGATTCTTTTTGGAAAGTCTTGCATTTCTTGAATTTTTTCTCTAGAACTCCACTTGAGCTGACTATTGAGAAGAACTGTTCTCATGTTTTGTGGAGGACAATGAAAGACTGAAAAAGCACTATTGTGGAATATACAGGATGATAAGAAAATAGCACAAAATCTCATTTCACTAAAAAAATGAAAAATGGTGACCAAAACCATGGCCCAATCATTTATATCAGACTATCAACTCGAGACGTTTTCGAAAATTCGCCTCTAATTGAAATACAGGATGAAAATTTTCAATTCAAACTTGTTACCTGATATTTCCATTATTAGGATATAGTATAATATGCAATAATTTTGCTATATACCTACAAAACAAAATTCAGATTTTCTAATGCTCTGAAACTCGACACTCAATCAATTTGTATGATTCTGCATATTCAATAAATATTTTTTAACTTTATGCTTGAATTGATTTATATTCAATATTTTCAGATAATCCGGGAGTTCATTGTATTGTTTCGGTGCACGGAAGCTGAAACTTTTTTGAAAGATTGTAGAACGATGTTTAGGAATGTCTAAAGTATGACGAGAACGAATGCTGATGTTATGAAGGTTTCGTCTATAACTAAGTTGTTTTCTTACCTAACTGATCATATCTGATATTACATCGACACCGCACCCCTTCGTGGTCACTTTGTAGACCTGCAGAACATCTCTTTCCAAAGACTCGTTTATCCAACGAACAGTGAGGCCCTGGAACACATTGCCAAGGAAGGTGTTCCCCGAGGCATTTAACCTCCAGAAATTCAAGTAGAACACCAATTCCTACCTTATTTTCCTTGGTTCTCACGATGTTCTCTGAACATTACAGAATTTCCTTCTTCGTGGGAACATAAGAAAAAAAAAAACATTTGAAAACTTCACAAACGATAAGATTTCCACGAAATTCTCAAACACACGACATGTTTCGCTAACACAGTAGCTTCGTCAGGTGATATACTGGTACGATATCGATAATTCGAAATGAAAATAACTGACTTTCAATTTTGTTACCCTAATAGGAATTATAGATGGATCTTGCATGAGGTATATTATGGTGGCGGTGGAAATACTTGTTTCGTTTGCGCTTCTACGCCCTAATCATGGAAATTTCAATCGTTCAAATGATATGTTTACGATATGCTCAGTATTTCAAAATGTGGAAAGTATCGTTATTGATTCTTTGATTCCCATTATATCATCATTTGAGAATCACCCGGATTCCTTGTATTAATATTCGAATTCTGAATAGATTAATAGCATGAAATGACGATAACTGAAAGAGAATACCATTAAAATTTTTATTATGAAAAACAAACGAAACTAATTGAGAAATCCTGACACAAATCGATCAATAGTGAGAGTAACCAACAAGAACAAATATTGAATTATTTAGCGATTAAAAAAATGTAATGTAAAGAAAGATACCTATCAGTTGAATAATTTCCACTGACCAAAATAATATAATAGAATGTTCACAAATATTTGATTGTAACTTGAATACTCATTCAATCAATTATTTGACATCAAATCACCTATTCGCGATAGGAAATAACACGTCGCCCCGCCTGACGGCAGCAACCAGAACACTTCTGAGCGGTTTGTTCTGATGATACGACCAATAAGCACAAACAAAAAACAAATGTGAACCAATGAATACGAAGTGAACATGCCACTTTGACAGCTTTCAACGACTCCAACAGGTGGCGTACGCTTATTTTCTATCGCGAATAATTCATATATTCTACTGACGTCAAGGGCCTCTCCAAAAGAACGCAAGGTCATCATACCTTCTGCTTGCTGAATTGTAGTCTACTTCACATTCTTGAGATGGGCAAGGCATAACTTATAAATTGTATTGATCTTCATAGAAAAAATCCAGGACTTTGGAGTCTCGTGATGTTTACGAAAGATTTTGAAGCAAAGAGCCGTTGATTCAACCAGCCAAATTGTTATACGACCATTCAATCGATTTGACATTTGTTGAATATGATGGTTGAACTTGTTGATGAAGTCGACGGAAAATGAATTATCCATATGATATGAACCTTTTCAAATCCGGTCACGTACAGTTATGGTGATGTCCACACTATCGCAATAATAATATGAATCTGAAGCGATTCTGATATATGACTGCCAAAACTGAAAACTTTATAGAAATTCTGACACTATTCTATTGGCCCCCATGCAGGAGGATTATAAAAGTGTGAGAAGTAATTATCCTTGTCATTGTTCCAAAAAATGTATATTCTAATGTGAATATGGAATTCTCATCACCTTCAAAAGTAACAAGGCACAGTGCTTTTTAACAGTGGAAACAACCGTCATTCTGGTATGGATAATCCCACGAACTTCGCGTTGATTAAGAAAGGCCTTTGAGCATCATTCAACAAACTATAAGAACCAAAATAATATATTTCATGTGATACTCTTCTTCTTCATCTTCCTGTCTGTTGAAAACCTATCAGATCTGCCCCTTTTAGCCGATTGCTTCCTTGTCTTCGATTTGACTTTATTGCTTCTTATAGAACCGGAATTCTCACTTTCTCCAGAATCAGAGTCCGAAGTATCCTCGACAATAGGTCGAGAAAATTTGGACAAAAGGGAATCTTCTCTCTTGAGACGAATTTCAACGTGTTTCTTCTTTGGAGGATTTCCTTTCTCTGGAATATATTTCGGTTCAGAAATGTGAACAGCAGCATTCAATTCTTTTCCATTTGTTTTCGAATACATCTCATCTTTCGATTTTTTCGCAGATGATTCAAAACGAATTTCAGCGATTTCGATACTGCATTTCTCCAGATTTCCTTGATATATTACGTCGTGGTTATGTCGCATACTCTTTGTCTCAATAATGTTATCCGACAGAGCGAAATTGGCAGTGCAATCACTTGTTTCTCTCATAGTGCAACACCATTCTGACTTTGCTGATCCCTTTTTCTTGTCATTAGGTTTGTAAACAAATCTGTCTATTATTATGAATTCTCCGTGGCGGCCTACCGGTAGTGTTCTATAAATCAGCACTGAAACAATAAAGCCCTTTTTAGATAGGATGAAAACAATGCAGAATGATGGAGAAATATTAGATCAGATAGGTATGGAAAATATTGAAAAAATACAAGATTTACAAATAATCGAATTCTTCATAAATAAAATAGTGAGGTGTGAAATAAATATATATTTGAAATATATTCCGTGAGGATTACATTTTTCGAGAACATGATAATTTCCAATATATAGCAGTAACTCCTTGAGGTGACAAACTCATACAAAAAATAAGAATTGATATCTTGATTACAAGTTTTCAACAACTAACGGCCAAGCCAATTCATAACATGTGACTAGTTCAGGAGACCATACAAAAAATGTGGATTTGTTGATGATATTAGGTTTCAACCTTATTGTTGTCTTGTCAATAAACAAATCAAGAATTATATATACAATTCGGGCTCGCGCAGCAGATATCTTGGTTACTTAATATTAAAAAAACTCAAGAAACAATAATTGTGGAATTTATAGGAGCAACTAGTTCTGTGGAGCAAATGCTTTCCAAAATGGTGAGATCAAATCGCCCTTGTATCAAACAACCTACTACCCCATGTTCTCTCTCGGATGATCTTATAAAACGTTTAATCCTCATTTCGACTATACAACACGATTTTGCGAGCTTGTTATGCTGTTACACCCAGTTATTCCTTTAAAAATCAGAGCTACAAGGAAGTCTGAATAGTCGATATAAAGTTAGTGAAGCAAGCCATTTCAAATAACCATTTGAGGAAAAATTGATATTCTTGAATAAAAACTATTGGATTGATTTGAAATTTCCGAGGACGAATTTCTATACATCATTGAATTGAGAAATGAAAGTTCAATGAGAGGAACCGAAAAAACCATAGAGGTGGTTTCTTGTAGATTGTTTGACATGAGGATGATTCGATTTCATTGTCTTGAGGTGCTTTCGCTCTAATATATTCCACAATTTATGGAAATATGTTTGGCATGTTCAGATAACCAAGATATGTATGCTGGCCTAAAGGCTCAGGGACATACGTATTTTCATAACAGGAAAAAATTCAACTGCGATGGTTGGTTTAGCACTTATTTGACAGAACATTTTTTCATGAGAATTGATAGGCTTTGGTTTTACTGTAGTCAAATAAGTCTTCAGCATGTTGTGATGAATCACAATATATCTTCCGGAGATGAATTCAAGAAAGAAGTTAAAATATTCAAAATGGCCATCGTCATGTTGAACAGATAATTCACACACACACTGATTGCTCCATGACCACATTTGAAAAGATGATCTTGTCATATTCACCTATGTATAAAACGAAATATGAATTTCACCTTGAACTGAAGGCACGGTGTCATCAGTAGGTGTGAACTGTATTCATTCGCAGCACGCTTTAAAACCACATGCGTTGTTGAAATATCTGACATTTGCAACACTGACGTTCATTTCAGTGAATATTTCACTCATCACATAATCTGACCAATCACAAGCCATCAGAGACAACGTGTGCTTATCACAAAACATTATAGCTGTCTTTCAATTCTGATTGGTTCATTAGCGTTGATGTAACCAAGTAAAGTAACCATGGATAGCGCAGCAAAGTCTGGATGTAACCATGGATAGCGAAGCAAGTATGTCAGTTTGGCATTAAATAATCATGGCTGCACTTGTCAGAATGAATCACTCATTTGTTTATAACATATGCTTTTTATGCTTCGTGAACGTGAAATAGTCTAGCGGAATTCCACTCTATTCTGAATATCTTCTCATAATTCTGTCTTTCATTGTTAACTCAATTTTGTTGGTCAGAAACACCATTTCGTGAACAATGAAGCAACTGAATTATCTCCAATATTCAGAACATCGTGATATCACGTTTTTTATTTCAACTAATTTTGTTCAAGAGTCAACTTGTCATACATCATTGTATTCAAAATTAGAATGTCGAATGAAAATAAAATTGAGGAATTTGAGGTGCCATTTGAATTGAACAAAAATGACAGTCGCTGGCGTTACAGTTGATATTAGGAAAACTATAATGATTAGAGCCTTTTTATATAATCCGATGAGTCATTTCACTTGCTTTTTGTTTATCGAAATCGGATAATTGTTTCATTAGTCAAGGTTGATCAAGCTGCTACACAAACAAATCAAACCAATTTGCAGAAATTCATATGTTGTGCATCTGTTCTAAATAAAAATATCACTACGTTATGCTATCATAAGTAATATCATCCAGCAATTTGCATATTCTCACCTAGCACGAAAAACACTGGGTAAACGTTCCTATTTATATATGGCTACAAAAATTTTCAATTTTTTGCCGGAGATCTACAAAACCCACGACCTTAAGATTAACTCTTTCAATTTCTTCAAGAAAACTTTTAAACATTTCTTGCATTCGATAGAGAGAAAAACAAACTATACATGATCTTATCGAACAATAGGAAGAATAGTTTCATCCCAACACTCTCTTATACTCTTCATCATTAAACCATTCATCATACTATATTAAATAATAAATATGCAACAGAACCAGTATTATCTATGTCATATAGCTTTATGTAATATATTCTTCTTTAGAATGATAAATAAATGCAGAAACTCATGCTCATGCGCAACCTACTGGTCCTCAATGGACTTTTTATTTACGTTTTATAAATGTATATAGTGAATACATGCACTGCCTACCTACTAATAATATGACATTTTTGTATTTGTGTTTGATATAAATATCTATACTATAGGTTGCTATAGGTATACTTACTATCCACGCCGCGATCAGTCTCTGGACTTTGCGGTGTCCCTATGTTTATCCATATGATTTACTCATCATCACCTCATTAATTACTCATTTTACTCTTATTCATTTATTATTCTACTATTGCTATACTGTTATTATTATTGTTATGATTATTGTTGTCATGATTATTATTGTTATGATTATTTCTGAATAAACATATTATTATTATTATTATTATCATGCACAAGTCCGTCAGAACGAGTGGTATTGCTGTACAGCAAAACAATTGAGTTAATGATGGAAGACGGAATTATGAGAAGATATGCAGAATAAAATGATATTCTGCTAGACTATTTCACGTTCACGAAACATAAAATGCATTTATCTACAACTATTGAGTCATTCATACATTGCTTACTCGATTTTCAACATTTAATGACAGACATTATTGTGATGAATCGAGTTATAAGAGTGATAATGACAGTAGGATGACGTAATAATCTGACATCACATCGTCTTGTCAAATTCAAGTAGGTCGGTGTTCGTTCTACTAGTTCTACTAAAGCACACCACTATACTACTGTTTGTGAAATACACGCAAATTCAAAACTCACCTTACATGGTTCTCATAGTTTTGATCACCTTAATTCTACAAATACACGGGAAAATGAGAATTCACTGTTCTTCATTCTCAACAGTGACTACCATCATGAGTAACCATGGCCATAAAATAGGATTTGACACTTGACAGTTGCAGATTGGCTCACACTCATGTACGGGCTATTCGAATTGATTATTACATAGTAGATTACATAGTTGACAACAATAATCACTCTCAGATCAATCAAAATTGGAAGACAGCTCATGTTTTCGCGATAAGCACATGTTGTCTCTGGCTTGCGATTGGTCAGATTATGTGATGAGTGAAATAATCATCGAAAGTTACGGAATGTGACACAATATTGCACCAATTTCGAAGGATTGAAACTCAATAGAACTTGCAAAATTATCAATACCAACTATACAAGAACGCACAACTTATTCACGAGCGAGTACTGTTTCCTCATGTAGCGATATCCCATCCTTGACATTCCTCCATTTATGACTTCTCTTGGTACAATTTATGATTTTCACTTTAACAGGTTCAGATGGTGGGAGTTTCGGATACCTCAAAATTTCGTGATTGTGTGAATTTGTCATAACCCTCACTATGTCTTGTCCACAAGTGATAAGCCTTGCTCTACATTTGAACTTTTTTTTAGCTCCACAACACCAAACAGTCTTATAATCCGTAACCCTTTCTATGGTGTATTCATAAGATTGAAAGATCAGTTTTGGATATTTCTGAGCCCTGTCGTAGTAGATAACGTCATCTGGAATAAAAATATTTATGTAATATATCATCGTTTTTATATTTTGCCAAGAAGTCTTAGATCAATGGCAGAAACTAAACTATAACAGGCTGGAAACGTGGCATATTTGAAAGTGTGAATCCCTATATGGGACCTTAACTGGAGAAAATATATTAACTAAATAAAAATGAGGTAGAAAGAAATTAAGGATATTATTAAGCGCAAACAACATAGGCAATATCAGCTATACCACATTTCTTGTAGAATATTTTTTTCATAGCAAAAACACAATATCTCTGAAAATTTTTGGATCAGTCCATACTAACACAAGCTAAGAGTCCTTATACATGAATTTGGACTTCAGTGGACTCTTCATTTTTAGTCAGAATGTTATTTCTTCCTCTCTTGGAGCTAATATTTTAATGAAGAGGTTACAGCCGAAATTCTGTTGGTTGTGGAAAAATACGCGGATGAATTGAGAGAATTTCAATGCAAATTGCACTTCAATGGAAATTGACTAGAAGGCCAAGCAGTCGAATTACTGTGGATCTGAGCTTTGACCATATCGTCCATAATAGTTTCAACGCAGATATGAGAAATTTTAGTATGACCGATTTCTTCTCCAATGTTCAGAAATATGAATCATATATGAGAAGATTCACTTCTACAAAGAATTGTTTTTCTATAGGGCAACGAAACCTGTGCTGAAAAAATAGAAGATATGTACAGTTGTGTGCATAAACAAGTCGTACAAGCTTTGTATGGTGTAAACTTGCCCATGATGTTCCAGATT